CTCGTTCTCGCCGCTACGTCGTATTTCCGCTCATGCTCATTCGTATGCTCTTTAAGCTGCCTGCACCTGCATTCTTCGTTGGTAACATACAACCAGAGCATTCCATCCATGCAAGAGGACCGACCCTATTTCTAGACATACATGTATGCTCAAAATCACTGCAAGCTGTTATCTCGTATAGTAGTGGTAAGCTAGCACTGCTTTGCGGGGACGAGTACGGTATCCTGATATGGTGCCGTAATAACTGTAATATGTAAGTAATAAGGAATAGCAATACAGGCCGAAAAGGCAGCCGAGAGACTGCGCAGTGCAGCGCAGCTCAGCTGATAGATGTTATAGATGCTATAGATACTACTCATCCATGAGTGAGACAAGGGAACAGGACAGGACAGGACAAGGAGGGCAAAAACAACAAAGTAACTTAGATGCGTCTGTCTATGCTTATGTACAGTACATTTACATCGACCTATCCCTATCTCTCTCTTGTTCAGCCTACAATCTACATGAACCCTCACAGACATCTCATCTCTCTGTCAGTTGGTTGGATATATGGAGAGTGCAGCACATCACGGAAATAGATTGGACAATACCAAGACCGCCAAGGACTAGCTAGGACTACACTTTATTACCTCTCTCGCAACCTCCTCTACCATCGCTCATCAATTTCGACAAGCCCTTGGATCAAACTCGCAATATCCATCCATCCACCTATCACACTCGGTCGACACTGCTTGACGCTCACTCGAAGCCATTCTCCTTGTCGAAAGACATAGACACTCGAGCTGAGTGAGCTCGAGTCACATAACTTACCATATCCATATCCAAACCCATTCCTCACAGTCGCCGGCACCGCGGCCGAACGGATTTACGTCACCCCTTCCCCCTTCCCCGTTCTCTTTTCATTCTCTCTTTCACCGTCTTTCACTCGCTCTCTCATTCACATACAGATAACACGAATCCTTTCCGACCGATCTGCGCGAGATCTCACAACGCACGATTCGCTGCCGCTGCTCTGCGCTGCACTTTTCCCATCGTCATCAAAAACAACAACAACAACAACGACAGCTTATCGCTATTATCTACAATCGCTCTTTCGAATTGGCCCCATCTTACATCTTCCTTCTAGCCCTGAAAAGCAATCGACTCTTACGCCGATCGCCTCCACGCATTATTCTCGTGAACGCTCGCTGCTCTTCAGTCGACACTGCAATAACAGACTCTTGCATTCCCTCGCGTTCGCATTGGCATCGAAGAGACCTAAATCTGGATCGCAGATCGGTCAGCGACCTTCGGCTATATAAGATCTTCCTGGGAGCAGATAGCACGGACAGCAGGATATAGATATAATGGGTCGGAAGAAGATTGAAATCAGGCCGTTGGTGGTGAGTCAGAGTCAGCCACCAGCTGATCAGTCGACGAGAATGAAGAGAACGTGCAAATCGCTCATCGTGACCCTGTGCCCGGCCCGGATGTTTTGTCGTGTTGACAGGACGAGCGTAATCGAAATGTGACCTTTCTCAAGGTGAGCAACCAAATACTCGGCCTTGTTCTCACACCGACTACGAGTGGGACTGTACTGACTGTCTTGTTTTGTTCCGGCTCCGTTCGTTCGTTGTCCGCCTTCGCGCTCCGCTCAGCGAAAAGCGGGTCTGATGAAGAAGGCGTGGGAGTTGTCGGTCCTCTGTGCGGCGGACGTGTCGATCGTTATCTTTTCAGCTGCTGGGAAAGCGTATGAATTCTCGAGTAAAGAGCTGGAGAGCGAACTTGACAGGTATTACGATGTGAGTGATTGGTCTAGTCAGGCTTCAATCACTTTCAAGCTGTATATCGACATTGCAATCCAATGGCGATCAAATGTCTCGCAATGATTGCAAAGCCGAGTCAGCTGATCGCCTCTTGTTGTTCCGTTACAACTCCAGTACGAAGGGATGATCGAAAGACGCCGGGCACCTGAATTCGCTGCTATGGCTCTAGCTGGAGAAGATGATGAAGACGACGACGACGAGGCTGGTCCCTCACGTCGAGACTCTGTCAGCAAAGGGAAGAACAACACCGCCGCCCCCGCTGCCGCCGTCGCTAACGGTGGACCTGCCCAACCGAGGAGTTTGAAAGGCAAAGAAACGTTCAAGGCGAAGACAGTTCGGCATGGCCACGAAAGTAGCGGTCGACGAAAGGGGAAGAAGAAGCGAAGTAAATCGAGGAGCTCGAGTGAGAAGAGGAGTTTTATCGATTCGATCCTGAGTGGGGAGAGCAGTGAGGAGAGTGATACCGACGATAGAGAAGAAGACGCTCGGAGGCGACGTAAAGAGGATCAGCAGTATGAGAAGGAACGAAGGAGGGAGAAGGAGCGAGAGAGGAAGGCAAGAAGGGGCTCCGATATTGACAGGAGCAAGGACCGAGAAGTGGAGAGAGCGTATGGCACTTCGGTGAGTGAGGGAACCGCCCGCGCCCCTGGAAGTCCAATCAAAGCTGATTGGCGAATGAATGTCTTCCCACAGGATAAGATGATGGCCGGCTTGCAATACGCTCTCAGTATGCACTCCGCTCCAGCCGCAAACATGAACAACGATCCTCGCCATGCCTCTCAATACGCGGGACCGAGCCGAGAACCTTTCGCTCGCGAACATCAGGTTAACACCGCAGACGTATATTCAAATCATCCTGCTTCCATGCCTGTGACAGTCAACGTGCCGCAACTGCCACGTCTGCCATCTGATGGCGCAGCGTACCGACTCCCTCATTCGCTCGGTTATGGAAACGCACCCCAGTTGCCTCAGGGATTGACATACAGCCCCGGATTACCGCCTTCCTCGGCGCAGTACATGCAGACTCATCCTCATTCCCACTCGATACCGCAGGACGGCCTACATCCTTCGCTGAGTGCTTCCGCTGCGGGCTTTGCAGCCACTTCAGCAGGGGGTCTACCACTGACCGCCCCTCCTGGTTTTCAATGGGACCAAAATCTAATCGCACGATATGCCGAATTTCAACTGCAACAAAACCATCAGCGGCAACAGCGTGTATTGTTGGAGAAACAAAGACAACAGCTGGCTCATCTCGGCGTCCCGTTGGACGACAGAAGTCTGCTCGATGAGATCTTTGGTGGAATGTCCAGCTCTGGTGGCGGTGGCGGTGGCGGTGGCGGTGGCGGTGGTAGCATTGGAGGAAATGCCGGAAGGGGCGAGTATATTCCCATGGAAGATACGCAGAATAACAGCGCCGGATCTGGGGAATTCATATGGCCTTTAGCGGGTTCCAGTGCTGGCGGAGGAGGAGGAAACAATCGGCCTTCGACGATGGGCACACCACTAGATGAGAGCCCTGCAGGAGCGGGCGGTTACGATTTCCATTCTCACTCTCACTCTCAGTCACAATCAATCGGTAACGGTCCCGCTCATAGTCATGGTCAGATCCAGTCAGGTATGAACGGGAATGGGAACGGGAACGCGCAAGGTCAGAGTGGACATGGGGATTGGAGCTTCGAGGTGTTCGATCAACAAGGTGACGGCAGGGACGGCATGTCGTTACCTTCGCCCGTGTCGGCCAGTAACGGTGAGGTGAGACGCATCAAAGGCAGAGGAAGAGATTACGAGGAAGAAGGGATATCGAAGCGGATGAGGGTTATATGATGAGAGGCCGAGTGAAAGAAGAAACGTCAGCTGAGCTGGGCGGTACGTGGCGGGTTCTCCGATTTGGCCCAGTATTGTACTGTACAACATATAGGGAACGGCTGGGACTAGTGTAGTACAGTGTAGTGCATGGAGTCGTCTCTGCTTTTGTAAGGTTTTTATGTCCAATGGTACTCGGACTGTATAGTATGTATCTGTTGATTCATCTGGAAGTCCTGACGCTGTCGTCGTCATAGGGATACGGTACGCTTGCGGTCGAGGAAGAAGAAGAAGTGGCAATGACAAGTGGTGATGGCAGTGTTACGATAATACTGTACTCGGCTTGTGGTGAACAGGCAGTATCTATCGTTGAGGTGGATGCAGTAACATGGCGCTGTGCTGCACATCATCGTACGTCGTACTCGTATCGTACAGTAACTACAACTTGGTCTGTTACATCCGGTCACTGTACTCGAGTCGAGTACTCTCAAGATACATGGACCCCATCCCCAGCCATCGTTCCAGAATACCTCCGTCCGGACCCAACATCAACGATAAAGACGTATCCTCAACAGCTGATGGGATGCGAGCGAATACGAAAAAAGAAGGAAAGCGTCTGCAACCCTTGGCGCTCAGCCTGCACTTTACTTTTCCGACTCCGACTCTGACCCATAGTCACGTCGTGAGTATCTCGTGATATTCTGATTCCCAGAGGCAGGTGCTGCCGATCTGTACTGTACGAGTACAAGTACTGTACATGGTGATTGATGGATTTTTGCCCCTCGCCCTCCCTGCCCTGCTCCTCTCACCTGTCGATCCAAGGTGTCTTGCTTGCGTTGAACCCCGCTGGAGCATTTTCTTTCTTCTCTCAGATGACTTTGTCTCATCGTGGGGGGATCTCTGCTCAAGGACTGACAACCATAGTCATTCTGCAGGCTCGTCAGCGCCCTCAAGTCTTGAATGCTGTAACTCTCACTGGCTCCATCTCCCACGTACGTTGGAGGGCGTACGGGTCGACACTAACGTCTGAGCGTACAACACATACACATGTCCAGCGTATCCCGATCCCGCCTCGCTTCCTGGCCCACTCGCTCTGCCCGTCAGTGTCAGTCCTGGACTCGCATTCTATAGAACAGCTTCACCAATAACGGAGAATGAGCCGTCGATTACTTCTGCCACATCAATGTGCAGGAAAACAAAACAGCCGCCAGTCTGGCAGACGATACAGGCCCGAGGCTGACCCTCGTAACTTGAAGAATATCTACCATTGATGCCGAAAGACAAACAGCGCATGCTTGACTCACGCACCATGCATGACGCATGTAACAGCGAGCGGGATACGATATCAATGGCTTAAAACTGAACGAAAGACCGGATACCACCAAAAAGAAACGACTTGAGCAGGGTTCGAACCTGCGCGTCTTTCGACACAGGATATGGTCCAGAAGTAATTGGTTCAAGTCCTGCCCCTTAACCACTCGGAGCATCAAGTCCGAAGATGGAAGCGGGTTGGTTTTGGTCATCTATATAGTCTTTTGGGCTGTGGTCGAAATCATCAATTCATAATCTACCCAAACGAAAGTGACCATTCCATACAGCTTGGGCTTTTGCGAAGAGTTTTGATATCTCGATTCAGTCTCACTCAGGCGACCCGTCGACTGTACCAGTCATACCCAATGCAATTGCAAGACTTCGGTGAATCAACATGGAACATGCGGGATGAGTAATTAATTCGCGGCCTAACCCCTTACTCCGAGGGCGGTGGAGGCCGTTGTTGTGCAATTTCAGTTGCGATTCCTCTGCACAAATCTGGCCCAAGGCCAAGGGGACGAATGTATTGTTGATGTCTTTGCTGATTGACGAACACCTCTTTCACCAGTATTACAATTAGTCAAATATCACACTGATTTGGTGCGCCGATAAGGTCTCCCACCTCACACCACGATGCGATACGCGGTTCTCGTCACAGGCCCGGCAGGAGCGGGCAAATCGACATTCTGCGCCTCGCTCATCACTCACGCTCAGACGATAGGTCGACCGGTCCACTTGGTCAACCTGGATCCAGCGGCTGACAAGTTTGAGTATGAGCCCACGATCGATATTAGGGACTTGATAAATCTGGAGGATGTGATGGAGGAGCTTGAATTTGGTCCGAATGGTGGTTTGATCTACTGCTTTGAGTGAGCTCGAGGTGGTTTAATCGAAGACGGCTTCTCGGAACATGTCATTTGCATTCAGTGTCATGTCGGCGGACGGCGAAAGCCTCGCTGACTTGACTTCCAAGACGAGCCAAGATCAAGACGGACTGAGCTAACCTGATTCCCGTGATTCTACGCCCCAGATATCTCCTCAACAACCTCGACTGGCTAGAAGACGAACTAGGCTCGTACGAAGACGACTACCTGATCATCGATTGCCCAGGCCAAATCGAGCTCTATACCCATATTCCTCTTTTACCGCGCCTAGCCACTTACCTGCAGACATCCTTGAACTTCCGCACGTCGGCGGTCTACTTGATCGACTCGCAGTTCATGCAAGACAAGAGCAAGTTCTTTGCCGGAGTCATGAGTGCCATGTCGTGTATGCTGGCGTTGGGCATCAGCATGGTGTGCTTGATGAGTAAGATGGACTTGGTGAAAGATAAGAATGGGCGTACGAAGAGGGAAGTGGGAAGGTGAGTTTGATACATTGGTGGACAGTAGTAGGGGTGTAGTCTTTCGCACGAACCGAGGCTGATATGGGAACCAATAACTGCAGATACCTTGATCCGGATCCAACGCTCTTACTGGATGACCCAGGATCGAGCACCAATCCAAAGTTCAACGATCTCAATAGAGCAGTAGTATCCCTGGTAAGATGATCGACTCGCTGATTGAAGCATGTCAAGACACCAGATATTGGGCCGAAGCTGACTTCGCGTTCTTGATCGACTTGACTCTTGCAGATAGAAGACCAAAACATCGTTTCGTTCTTGCCGCTGGACGTCACGTCGGAAGATTCGGTGAACACCGTCTTGAGTCATATCGACAATATGATGCAGTATGGCGAGGATGAAGAGCCAAAGGTGAGCTTGGGTGCTCGGTGGCAAGACATCATATGTCCCACCTGTTCTCCTGGACCCCTACCCAGATGGCCACGTAAGGTCATCACGAGCTGACTCATGGCGTTCGCGATATGACTTACGCTCATCTACAGGTGCCGAAAGACATGGACGAGGGTGAGTGTGATGCAACAGTCAGCCGACTGGATATCCAAGAAGAATACACGAGCTGATGTACATTCCTTCCGCGTGACAGGCGATTTCGGAGACGACTAGATCTAACGGACGGTGTCATGTCACCATGTTGTGTACCATATGTATCAATACAACTATTCATCAGACTAACCATAGTAGGGGGCGATCGATCAACGATAATGATTTAGCTACATGGTCGAGACGAGGCGGGAAACTGACTACCAAAGTACAATACCGATCATAATTTACTGACACCGAAACAAGGGCAGAGCGTAAAAATGGAGCGAAATTCCGAATGGTAAACCACATATCAAACGAAACTATGGCCACTTTGAGCATCAGGTGACCGGCATCTACTAGGTCGATGTCGTAGATCCCCAGTAATGCGCAACAGCGGAATCGGTCAGATGAAAAACGGGATCAGGCTCAGACGACAGAGGACACCCTTCACCGACACCCGCCCCTCAGCTCCCTCATGATCCTCTCAAACTCCTCGGCGACTTTCTCCCAATCCCTACCATCCTCCCACAAGCCGTCTTTCATCTGTTTCTGTGATTCGCACCCGACTCGCACCGCCCGAAGAAGCGCGAACTTTGTCTCATCAGTCAAGGAGCAGAAGAACTCAAACGGAACAGCTGTGAGGTCGAGGCTTGCGGCACCTTCCACTCCGTCCTTGTGGATGTCGAAGGATGTCTCAGAGCCCTCCTGGACCTTCAGAGTCAAGCGGGACGGCGTGTCGGGTGGTACGGGTGGGACAGTGTCTTTGGGTTCGGCGGGGTTGGAGCTGGAGCTCGAGCTGGCGGCTGAGTGCAAGTGAGGACGACGGTGTTGGTCTTTCAGCTCGGCCTGTGGAAGGAAGGTATTGTCAGCATCGCAATGGGTGTGCGATTCAAAGCCACCATGCCAGAGCGATGTGAAGGCGGTTTCCCCTCAGCAGAGATGGGCGATGTAGTGCAAAGTGGTGGTAGTCGAAAGCACGACTCACCACTCTGCCCTTGAATTTCCGACCGGTCTCCTCGACAGGTGACACTTTCACAGATACCGGAGATTTGGATTTTCTTCCCCCGACCCAACTATACTCTCCCGCCATCTTGATGCTCTTCTTACAGAGCTCCACATCATCCAACCTATCACCCATCTTTAAACCCTTACTCGCGCTCACCACCCCTTCTTTTACCCAAACTCGCACTGCTCCCCCCAAGCGCCCGTATAAAGTCTTACATTCGTATTTCAGCAGGAAAGACAACAAAGTCTCGTACGCTTGGAAATACACTGGTAGCGTAGGGACGGGCAAGGGGAGGGTGTAGAGTAAGTGGAGGAAGAGGGAGATGGTTATGGATGATTCGAGGGATGAGTCAGGAAAATGGAGTTCGGGCAGATCGTGTGGGCAGTCCAGGTGAGCGGAGGCGGAGGACGTGGTGGGTTCGGAGAGGGACAAGGTGGTCTTGAAGATGGAGCTGAAGGGAAGGGCAGACAACGTTAGCATGGATAGGGAAGCAAAATCATCTGTGTGGACATGAATGGGAAGGATGGTCACAGACTGCCCCTAGATCTAAACAGCGTATTACCTGGGTTTCGTACGACTTCATACTCCCGATATCGACTCACCTACAAGCCGCGAGGCGAGTCCCATGTACCTTGAACCCCAGCCCATCGCTCGAGAAGAGCACCAAATCCGCATCGTCAGGCTGAAAAGGCTCATTCAGCGGCGTCATGGCGTTCTCTGAGATCGTGCCTAGCTTGCGCATCTTGCTCAAGCTTGATGAGGTTGATGCTGAGGATCGTCTGGCATGACCCATGGTATTGGTGGTGGTGGCCGTGGGGCGCTTGGCTCGCATCGTCATCTCTGGTGAAGGTGAGCCGAGCTTTTGACCGGCCGGTCGCGACCAATCACTAATCAATGATTTTTCAAGATGCGATGAATGTTGGCAGTGTGATTAATCAACTAGTTGCCCTAAGCCTCCATCCGATTGGAAGCAATAATTGACGGTACGATACGAAGGATTGAGGCATCGATGGGGGCAGAAGGATACTCAGACTCAAACATCTCATATACCATATCAGATTGACTTCTTATCTATACGATGCAGCATCGGCCTTACCGATCGATGCATGCATGTATACTGCCTCTGATGGTCGTTCCGTCACGATAGAAGCCATAGCTCCTACCTCGAATGATCCGCGGCCAACGGACGAAGAAAGGGTTCCACATGCCATCAGATCACACGCGTCCCCCACCCCCACCCCCACCCGCACCCTACAAACAGTACATCCTTTGATATTGACCATTGCCGCCACCATCAGTCATCAGCAAATTCCAAACCAATCGATCACGAGGCCACCCTGTCTCCATGCATATCCGGTACATCGGTGATTATATACAAGTACATGCCAAGAGATACCTTCGCGACATCGCATCACCTAGCCAGCCGACCGAGGTTGATCCCCTTCCGGCACATAATAATTATACCGACCTTCTTCTTCCCACGGTCGATCCCTCCTCCATCCTCCTTGGCCTTGTTCCACATGACCACCCTCCACGTCCACATTTGGGTAATTTGCAATCTCTGGTGAGGTGTCCCAAGGAGGCCTCTTTGGCCTCACCTCCCACCCCTCACTACCCCTCCGCACCCTCGGTAATCGCTCGCCCGCCCCCATCGGCCCTTCTCCATCTTCATCATAATCCGACAGATAAATCTCTGGAGAGCTGGTCGTTGATCGAGAATACGTCGAACCATAATCTCGATCTTCTCCCGATGAGTATCCAGCCCCATGGTCATGGCCATTGCTTTGCTCTAGCTCAAAGCCGTGTGCTTCGGCCGGCGGGGTATGCGAGTGTCGAGAGCGCATAGCAGAGTTTGACGGGCGCAAAGCAGGGTTGAACCCCTCGTTGCCGTATACAAAGGCCGATGCCCCCGACGGTAGAGGACGAGGGTTCGGCAGACGCGATGGGTCTTGAGGCGGCCACGAGTATTGGACGTCCGAATCTGGTGAAACCATGACAAGGGCATTAGCAGACTGCTTGTTTAACCTGTGAATAGGAGGTAGGTTGCACTCAGCATGGCACCCGGAGCGATCGAAAGCAAAGCGCCAAACTCACCAGATTCATGCCGCTCCCCCATCATACATCATACTACATCATAGTCGTCTCTTCCTCGCCCAACTCTGACCCTTTCCTCCCTCGCACCGGAGTCAGACCGTGACCCTGGCCGCACATCGCTCCCGCTACCGTTGCCTCTTACGACTTCATCCGAAC